TGATTTGAATAATTTTATTCGAGATTGCACCATATGTTTTTGTCCTACTGAGTATTCCCATATACTCACAATTTTCCCTACTCCTCACAGGTTAGATCGGGTCGTTGGTTGACGGGTGGTGAGGTACAGTCGTTGTGTCAAGATTATGGAACTCATAAAAAACATAATCCGGTGTAACAAGTCCTTATTTCTTTTATTTCAACAATTCCTTAGTTTTATGGATTTTTATTTACGAATTTAAAACCTGTTTTATTGAGTAATAAGTTCAAGACTATGTTATGGTTTATTAGTGGAACATGCATTTATTTATTTCATTAATCAAATATAATATGCATATTTTTATTGATTATTAGTTTTTAACAATTAAATGGTGTTCGTATAAATTACATGTTTTTACACCTTTAAAGCTAAAATTTATAGTTAGTAGCGATATGAAAATTGAATTTTTGGGTAGATACAGGCAAAGCATTAGGAACCAAAAAGAATATACCAAAACTGTGCAGTAATACATCAATATGGATTTGCGTCCAAAATTGGTGCCCTCGCTCACAAGTGATGTACCATCCACCTCAAGGCTACAAATACACGACACTACCGTATAATTGCTTGACCTCTAACGTCTATTTACAACATCTAAGCAAAACTTGGCCGCTTTCACTACCGAATTCCTTTATCAAGAGTAATGAAATTTGACAAAAATGGAAGTGACACCAGGGAAATTGAAAAAAAAAATAAAATGGCATCAGTTCCCACCCTAGACAGCTGAACGAGTTTATTGACGTATAAAATACATATCAGACCAATGTCCGTAAGTCAAGACCAAACATGTCCATTATCTACCTTCTTCTGTTTCTTCTTTTTTCTCCTTTCTTCTTTTGGTTCCATCCTTGCTTCAGCACGTTTTGAATACTTTGAGCGTATCTCTAACACTTTAGTTTTTGCATCTCTAAATAGTGCATCTGACTTTGCAGCCATCAATTGCTGGTTCGATATGCAAATGAGTTTTAGTTATTTCCAAATGCGGAGAAATCAATATTATGTTACAGATTCATATATGAACTACCTACCTTAAGATGATCCATTGCCGCCAAGTTGAAACCGAGAGTATCTTTGCATTCCTGTGCATATGCAAACATTAATTTACAAGGCAAAGCAGTAGCATACTCAAGTTCAAATTGCTGAAATACAGAATTGGGATGCTAAGACGTGTCCATTGAATTTCGCCAGCTACAATTTCCAGGCAAGTAAAGCAGGTACAAATCAGTACCCAGATTCAGGATAATAAATATTATGTAATAGTAAACATAAAATTCAGATATTAGGAGCACTCGTAACATCAGAAGACAAATATGAAAATGTCCTTATTAAACTCAAATCTTATCTTACAATTTCTCTAGCTTTTAATCTTAGCTTCAGAATACAGAAGCTGTTAAATTTGCTTTTAGTTACTAGTTATAACTTTCTAAATTGACTTCATCGGGTGAGCCTTTTCCAAACAGATCACAAAAATCTTTCAGAATTAGTAATAAATTATAGAACATTCTTTGAATGACCAAAAAATTATTTATCTTAGAACGAACTTACTTGTAAGAAAATTCTTTAAGCTTAATCGAATATGAACATAATCCTAAAATTACCTTAACTCTTGCATGAAGAACGTCTTTGAGTAAAGTTAAGACAGGTCTGGCAGCCACGGTAGAAACAAGCTGGTTGTGATGGATCTGCAATAGCACTGTGGCAACTCGGCAGACAAGCTCAACCTGCCGCAACAGCAAAAAACAGTTGTAAATAATAACAAGATTACGAATGAAACGTCAGCCATACCATTTTGATAGAGAACACCATCTTTATGATCAGATAATACACAAGCATAATCATATCGTAATTTCCAACTTTCAGGGGAAACCAGTGACATAATGAGAATATCAATAACTTCAAAATGGTCAAGCAGTTGAGGACCTACCAGCTAAACCTAAAATCACAAGGATCAAAATCAATGCAGTCACCATATATTTAAGAAAATGCCAGCAATGAACAATGTGTTACTGTGGATCATATTGTTGAAAGGTTTCAACATTTTCCCAATTTCGGCATGATCAATATGTCCGTACTTGTGTCTTGCGTCAATATCAATGCTTCCTAGATGTTAGAATTTGACCAAGTCTTCCTGTTAGGTAATGTTCTAGGGATCCCAAGTCTTCCTGTTAGGTAATGTTCTAGGGATCATACCTTTCTGAGTGATTTAATCATTTTTCCTTGGATTCTCTGCATGTGAAGGTGTATATATACCTACAACATTTTCTCTTTCTTACCACCCTTTTATTATTCTGAAGGTCAGAACCATAAACCCCATCCCGGAGTACTTTTGCTATTTTACAAACAAGCAGGACTCCGCCAAATGCCCCTGCCCCTCTAAAAACAAAAATCTCAGGTCATCCCCCCACCCCCCCAAAAAAAAAAAATAGTAAAATAAAAAATTGAAATGGATTACATAACGAACTGGATGAAGGAAAGCTACAGCTAAAAATTAAATAGGCCAACAGAAGTACAACAAAATCACAGGCTTGCCAATTGCCACTGAAGAGAAATATATTGCACGACAGATACTGGATGAAGAAAAGCTACAGCTAAAAATTAAATAGGCCAACAGAAGTACAACAAAATCACAGGCTTGCCAATTGCCATTGTGAAGAGAATGTATATTGCACAACAGACAAACATTTGTATTGGTCAAAACCATGGTGTCATAAACATTAACCGCATGGACTGAAAAATTAAAATATATGGCAGATAGATCTTCATTCAGTTTGCGCAATGCAATTCAAGCTGTGCTGCATGTCCACGTGATACAATATGATTCTATTCCATGTCATTAAAGAAGCACTGACCTTATCGGGTAAAGAAGCCCAATCTTTCAAATAAGACAAGATCTTTAAAGCATCTGAGAATGGTAGAGCCTGCAAGAAAGTCAAATAGAAATTATTTAACCTTTTTCCAAATGTGAAAACAGAACAGTTAACCATGAAAATAGTTGACAAGGTCAACATAAAAACAGAAACTGGATCATATTCAGAGAAGGGTTTGTAGCTACAACAAGTGCATTTTACTTTTAACTGTAGTTCATTAGATTGAGACTTAATATCTAAACTATTAGTTCTACTGATGAAAACAGAAAAGAAACAAAGAAGCACACAGCAAGCAATAAGAAATAATATGAGAATGAAAATCTAAAGCCATATCTCTGCATTACCGTGCCACTTTAAATCTATAAAACCAGGGGCCACAGCGTGGAAAGCTGGGGCAAGTTATTACTGTGTATGTAATTGTGTTTCCAGAGTATCAAATGGATTAATAATTCAATAGTTCTATTTTCAACCCAAAAATAAATGCAACAACTTCGCTATCCCAATCAATCAACGTAACTGCTTTTCACTTTGTCAGAATTCACCAAAATATTTATGGAGTTGAAGCAAACTCGCAATCATGTGTGTCAATCCTAACCGACTGCAGCAGCACATAATCGATCGATATAACAATGATAAAAAAATTCATAATGCCAGAGAAAACCATGATCAAATTGACAGATGTTAAAATCTCTTGGTGCAAGGGATAAATGGGTACTTCATAGTAGTTCAGTGTTTTCAAACTAATAGAAGCAGTGGTACAAATGATGGATAGAAATTTCAGGTACAAACATATCCAATGTACAATAGATATAGCCCCTGTTTTGTGGCCTTTAAATTAATTTAATTTATTTTAATTTATTTCTCATAATCTTTTTCAACCACACATTCACACAATAAAATATTCTACATATAAACCCAAAACTTTTCCGTACTTTTTAACCACATTCTCTAAAAAATACTATTCAAAACATAGTTTTCTTCAAATTAAAGGCCACCAAAAAGCGTATTAATTCAATCCACCACAATAAGAAATTATCCATAAACCCAACACACAGGATGGATGGCTTCAATGCACGACTATGTCACCACACTTACTAGCAAGGTATGCTCCAAATCATTAGTGTGAATGTTAGAAACTGCACGCAGAACATAATCAGAAGGAGAAAGTCCAAGCATAAGAATATTTGGCCTCAAATCAGCAACTTTTCCTTTTGATTTTTCCTCCTGAAAAATCACAAAATTTGTTGAAACTAAACTTGAAGTATCGTATTGGATTTGACTAATATCAATAATCAAGTCACTACACAAGTTAGATTCCCCTTCCCCTTGGCAAGGGGTCTCAAGAATGAAGAGGAAACAAAAGTGTGAGACTTTGATACTAATCTTCTATGTCAGAATACAAAATGTGGCACATAGTGAATAAAATGGCAAGACTCTGCATACCTCATATTCAGCAATACGCTTCAGTTCTTCTTCTGCCATGTCTAATGCTTCAACGATTGAGTCTGTTGCATCAACAGTTTCTCGAGTTTTCTTCCCAGCTAATGCCACAGCTCCTTCTTCCGGAATTTCTTCCTTTGGCACATACCTATTCTCAAATGCATTGCCAATGTCAGCTTCAAACATCTCTTCCAACCTTTTCTCTTTCTCTTCCTGCAAATAAAATCACAATCATGGTTTTAGTGGTACAATTAGGCCCTGTTTGAGCCCCATTTATTGGGGAAAATAGGTTTTATAATAGCGATTTTTTTGGAAAATGTGTGGTTAAAAAGTAGGGAAAAGTTTTGGGTTTACGTGTAAACTTATTTTATGGGAGAACGTATGGTTGAAAATGAGTTTTGGAAAATATGGAGCTCAAATATAGGCTTAATGACAAGCCCCAACTGAAGTGAGGAACAATAAGGTGAAATATGTAACGCATTTGCTTAGCACTGCAGCTTTAGCACAATGGAGAACTTAAAAAGTATTACCTCAATAAAGAAAGGCTCTTCTGTACGATCCCAACGGCGAATGGATCTATCATGAGATCCTGTTACAAGAAAATCCCCACGGTTGCTAACTGCAAGACACCAGACCTCGGAGTGATGACCTTCAAGAGTTAAAAGCAATTCAAACTTGTCGGCATCCCAGTATTTCACAAGGCGGTCTTTCCCCACACTGAACATGTAATGGGTATTGCGTACAAACTTAACTGCCATGACACTGTAATTAAAACATGTCAGAGCTGCTTTTATATAAAAATTGAAACTTGTGTTGAGGCGGGGAGGAGGGAGGTGCAAAGACATATAGTATAATTATTGGTAAGGTGTTGAAGCACCTATCAGCATGAGCAAAAAGAGACTTGTGGCAATCACCAAAATCCAGACCCCAAATCTTTAAATTTTTGTCTGCGGAACCAGTAACAATTAAATCCCCATCAGATGATACGTCCATACATAACACGGGCAGCTTGTGGCCATACAAGGAGAGGAAAAATTTGAGTGAATCCATGAAGAACACCTGTTAGTGACAATATGCAGGATAGTAAATGACAAAATTACAAAAAGTTTCATCATCAAATACATTTCAGACTTCAGAAGTAAACTTGCGAGCAAGCAATGTTTCAAAACCTAATTTATGGCTCACCAGATGCCACAAACATGAGGCAGAGGCTTACAAGTTCAGAACTAAAAAAGAAAAAGAAAAGTACCAATTAATGCTTCAAGCCAACAAACTTATCCATTCAAATGCAAAGACTTGAATAATTATTAACCAAAAGTAAACATAACATTTAAAGAGGCTAAAGTTAATCAACCAATGAGCAGGTTTCTGCTAGTTATCTTCTCCATTCAGATACAAATTACTTGAATATCTATTAACCCATAGTACAAATAATCTATTATGCTCGGACTCGGGTATGGGTATGTATCTAAGTGTCAGATCTTTTATTTTCTAAAATGTAGAATGCAGGGACATTACTAAAAAGAGTCCAAATTTCGGATATGGGTATTGCTTGTCTTTGTTGGCGGTGTACACTACTATACTGAAATCGAATAGTACGCACATTAGACGCTGGGGAAGGCAAGTAACTGATTTACTATTTCCAAAGGCCGACGAATACCATGTAGTAAATATAGAGAACCCATTGGACTGAGCGAGGGGATTGTTCTTATTAGAAAGAAAGCATTGGTACCGTACTGGCTTGGCCCGCTATGACCGATACTGCACTCCTACCAAGCCTTCTACACGAGTACATCTTTCAAACTTCAATTTTTTTACTAACCCAAAATGTCATATTGAATATATTCAATTGTTTACAAAAAAAAAAAAAAATGAGTATTGAATAAGGGATTAAGACGAATAAAATAGAATTTTGAGATTTAACTTTCAATTATGGAAAGCTAATTACTAAATGTAATAAAAATAGAAAATGAGAGACTTGATTGCAATTTGGACTTAGTGGAGAACTAACTCATTTTCATTTTATACAAACAAAACCCTAAGCCATCGATACAGTGAGGGAAAGGAGAAAAAAAAAAGAAAAGAGAAGGAAAAAAAAGAAGAAGAAGAAGGGAAAACCTAGCACTACAGTCTTTCTCCACTCTCTCGGCAACGGTGCTACATTTACAAAGAGCAGAAACAGGAAAGAAGAAAAAGAAAGAAGCATGAACGGCGCAGTGTGCGGTTGAAACTTGGAGGATCTAATGCATATCACATACCCATACTCATACCCGTGTCAACACGGGTACTCCAGTTATTTTAAAGAGTCCGAACATCAGAGCAAATAATAATTGAAGGAGGCCCAGGTCAATCGGCTAATTTCCATGCCTCACGTTAACAAATAGATTAAGAACTATTGTGCCATATAGATTTTCAAAGTTGTGCTGGACTGCCCAGGCATTGCTTAGATTCCTCTAGACATTGACTTTCATTTTGCATATCTCACTCACTCCACTGTATATTGAGATGTCAAATCAGATCTAGGTACAAATCAATGCATAATACTCTTTATCATTTTTGTAATGAAAGAATATTTATATCATTTCCTAATATTATTTCAACTGCAAAGCAGAAGAAAGTTGAATTGAATATGATATTGATATTCAATCATTAAAGCAACATAAAGAACATGCGAAAATAACAAGAATAAAAGTGTCCACCCAACCTTCACTGTCTGGTCTAAAAGAGCAACAGCAATATATTTACCCTCTGGGCTGACAGCTACCACCAAAACATCATCATTCATTCTCAAATTCCTCACCGGAGACACCACTAAACTCTTAGAATCCTGTCAACCACACAAAATTAATACATCAATAGTGGTATACCATTTAGCAATAGCAATAGTATAACAATGTATTAGAATGGAAACCAAGTGATAGGTCCAGCAGTATGGTACAATAAACAATCAGAAGTTATTCAACCAAAGAGAGAAGCATCAACCCAACAAAAATGAAGAAAAAAGCAGAAGGGTCTAAAGAACGCACTTGCCCAGGCTTTTGAGTGGTTTGATACTCCCAAAACTTGATATCACGATCTGTACTCCCGGTGACAAATCCATCAGCAGTTGCAGCAATAGACTGAACAGAGCCACCATGAGCTTCAACTACTTCCATACAAGTGCCATTTCGAACGTCAATAATTTCTAGTGTACCACCTTTTGTACCAACAATCGCATACTTGTTACCCGGTACAAATAGACCACACAGTCCATATCCTGAATCAATAGTTCTGAGGCAAGAACCAGTACTGGGATTCCATATTTTAACTGTACTGTGACTTGTTGACATCAAAAGAGTATTATCTGAGCTAAGTGTGACACTTCTCACATCAGAACGATGTCCCTGGAGCTCAACGGCACTTAATTTTGTGGTTGAAGTACTATCAATTGAATAAACTTCCAATAAATTATTGTTCAGAGACAATGCTAAGGTAGCCAAAGAGCTTCTCGAAGTGATTGGAGAAAAAGAAATGGAGTATATCTTCTTGCTGGCTCGAAGAGTATGCATGAGCTTAAAGATATCAGGGACAGTAACAGTGATATCATTACCAACTTCATCTTCAATAGTTCCATTTTCAGCAGTCTCACCTGAGACTTTAGAAGCTTTCTTCTCCTTCTTTCTATTAACTCTTCTTTTTGCTTTACGTCTAGATTCAGACTCGTCTAATACACGAAATATCTCCACAATTTTCCCTGCAACTTGACAGGCCAGCAGATTTCCAGACTTGTTGAACCTAACTGTAGCAACTCTATCCTTGATCTGCCGCGGAATTTCACCATAATGCTTCAAAACTTCCCATTTGTTCTGAGCAGATGTTTTTCTGTTATCCGCATCAGATTCAGTTTTATCCAGTAGAGTTTTTCCATCGGCCAAATCATGCTTTATCGTGTAAAATCGGAGTTCAGGGTCCGCTGACCCAGAGACCAGATATTTTTCATCTGGGTCAACATCAATGGACCAAATTTCACTGTGATGGCCACTTACAATTTGCATGCAATGCTGTGTTTCAAGGTCCCAGACCCTTAAAAATTTGTCTTTGGATGAACTAACCAGTTTTTTACCAAAATCCAAGAAAAGAAGGTCAGTAACCTGCAATGTGCAAGTAAAAAGACGGAACAACATAATTCAGCTATAATGGTAAAAGAAACACAATACTGCAGCTTTCAAATCACAAAGAGAAAATATAAAATGAGTAAAAGCTCATAAGACAACCTGGTCACGGTGCCCACGAAGGCGGAAGAGTCCAGCCTCACCAACTACATCCCATAAAATAATGTCATTGTCTTTGCTACCAGAAGCAAGCAAAGATCCAAGTTTGTTGTACCGGATGATTGTTACAGCACCTTTATGTCCATTCAAAGTGGTTTCACATGTTCCTTTCTCACTATCCCATATTCTTACACTACCATCAGCATAGCCACAAGCTATCTGCAAAACCAATTCCCATTTATTACTTCATTATACTCCAACATATAAATTTAAATCAAACTTTAACCTCAACTGCCATTTTTGGATTAAATCAATTTTCTTCTGAACTATAGTCTATAGTGAACCCAACAATATGAATATCAAAATATAGTTCAGCCAACAAACTGGGAAATACAAAAATATACACCCCCTTAACGTTCTAACCTGACATATGACATCTGTGATCTATCTAAAATTTCCTATATGATTAAAGCAGGGAATGAAAGAGAGTAAAATGAAACTATTGAGCAAAAAACTGCATCACAGCTAGACATCTTCTAGAATAAAAAACCATGAGAAGCAAAACAAAATAATACTTGGAGAAATTTAATATCATTAAGAGAGGACAAAAAGTAAAAGGTTATTTTAAAGTACATAATTTTGGGCGAAAAATCAATTAATGATTCAATGAAAAATCTATCTCGGTCCAAAAGCAATTTTTCATCAAAACCCCATTTGACATTGTAACTATGAATTAAAGTGCTTTGTTGTCTCGTGGCGCTTCATAGCTATAAATAAATACCATGCACAGGTTCGTATTTTTCCAATTTTAAGTATGTATGAACTCATAATACGCATATCTATGTATTGTGCGAAATTAAATTGGAGAAAGTTCTTCTGAATTGAAAAATTACAAACATATACATGCTATTTACAGCTGGGAAGAAGGTGCCGAAAGTAAGCTCTTACATAATTAAAAATCAAAATTTATTTTTACTCATTAAAGCATAAAAAATACGGAGCCGTAGTTATAAGCCTCCCATACAGAAGAAAGAAAAGGGGCGAAAGAGAGTATACGAGAGACGAGGGAGACGAGGCAATGGAAGTGACGGCGAGGGAGGGGCCATGCGAGGAGGAAGGTGATGGAACTAGAGTTTTTGTACAAATGCCCTGGCGAACGTGCCACACGCCTAGCTTCTCAAGCGCCGCCGCCAACAGGAGTTTTCCGGAGCTGTCGTAGGTTATGTTGGAGTCCCCCGACGCTATAACTCCGAACGAGACCGCCGACTCGTATCGAAGATATGACTTCACCATTTTTAGATCCTTTCAGTCCCGCTTTCGTGCAGATAGAAAGAGGAGTGGCGGAGGAGGAGGTGGTGGTGGGGAATTTGACTCGAAAGTTGACGATTGGAGGGAGAGGTATAGCCGTTTAGGGTTTAGGGTTTTGTCCTTCTTAGACCATGCCGTGTTTGAGTCCATGTTAACAAAAATTCATTTTTTTTAAATTAATTTTCGACCACACAATAAAATAATATTAAACGTAATTTAAAAACTTTTTCATCATTTTTAATCCTACATTACCCAAAAATTACTTTCTCCAAAAACTACTATTTAAAAATACATTTTTCACTAAAAAAAAATAATAATAAATGCTTATTTTAAAATATGTTTTTTTTTTTACTTGAAAGCTTTGCCAGAGATGATCTCGTTTTTTCTTTTTGTTCTTCCAATCAAAATAATGATTTGAGCATTTTCTACATACTAGTCTTGTACAAGCTGAATTTTCTTTAAGGTAATGTTAGTGTATTAGATGTATTGGATTCTAGTATAACCAGTGTTCTAAAAAACGTAAAGCGTGGTTAGAGGTGGAAGCCAAGTTTTAAGTTTTACAAGCCTAGACGAACTTTAGGCATAAAAAAACGTTTTTTTATTTTAAATTTTTAATCATTGTAAAAAAAATTCAATAATTCAAATAATACATACCAAACATCTAAAATTATAAAATACTGTATTTACTTAATAATTTATACATAAAGATAAGTTTCAAAATTATAATTACATAACGCAAATAATTTGTAGCTTAAATCTTATATAATCTAACTCTTTATCGTACTTCAATTCAATATCTTCTTCTTCATCTGATTCGTCATCCGTATCGTCCAATACAAAATCATCATTCTCGGGCTCCCTTATTTCATTTTGATCATTTCTTGTACCTCTTGTAGGTTGTAAGATATCATTCTCATCCTCACCCTCATCATGACAACCCTCTACAATTCAAGATTGTGCATTAGTAGCATCACTTGCTAGTAAAGTCTCTATTTTGGTCTTCATCTTCTTCTTGTTCATCAACTTTGCATTAAATTGGACATAAACAAGATTGTTCATCATCGTAATGCCAAGTCTATTCATTTTCTTAGTGTGCATCTACAAAAAAAACCTTGGCGGAGGCGCGCCTAGGCAAGATTAAGCGGTAAACATTGTCGTTGACCGCTTAATTCCCGCTTAGGCTCAAGGCAAAGCGTTTTTATCACGCTTCTCACCTAGGCGCGTTTTTTAGAACACTGTGTATAACTAATGTATACTTTAATCTAGTAGAATTACCGCATTCAGAATTTGTGGTATGGATAAAAGATAAAAACAAATGTTTGTTCTTTTACTAACTTGTTTTTAAGTATTACATGGAAATGCATTACAAACAAACCAGTTTAACATGTTGATGTCAAATATATCCAAATAACTCCAAAATTTGATGGTTTTGATCTTGTATGAAATGAGTATCAGTAGAACTAAAGAGAATCTAAAATTACCACATGATCCACAGGTACTAGTATATCCAGTGACTTCAGCTCACTCACGTTTGAATATACTAATATTATTATATTGATTGGATCTTTAATGTCTTAAACACTTGGCTTTTTCCTCTTAATCATTTGTAATCTCCAAAACTTTTCTGTAGCTCCTCTTATTCAAAGCTACTCCTATTATCTCCACCTGAATACTGGAGGGCCAACCACAGTGGAAAACAATATAATAAATGAATAGAAAGATAGAACTCCCAAACTGAAAAAAGCAATGTTACAACAATAAGCTTCAGACCTTAGGCAAAAAGTCGAAGGACTTTCCATAGAAACATAAACCTCTCATGCAGTAATGCCACAGACATTTGAAGTCCATCTTTTGCATAAAACAATTTCTTATATTGTAGGGGAAGAGCATAAGTTGGCCGTGTGCTATACTTGAACTTTCTCATTTTGAATTCAAGGGCTTGATCGCTGATAATATCTCCAAAAATGGATTATAACCATCTAGTAGATGAAGCCGAAAAGGAAAGACTCAATTTTCTAGTGAATTACTATTTAGAATTATTAGAATAGAGAAGCACAGCAAGCTTTCTGAATTAATATAAGGGATATCATTCTGCTTCAAAATTCTTTGCAAAGTTTGTAAGTGATCAAAACAACTACACTAGTTATCATGCTTGGATATCTAGAATAGCTATTTTAACAGGTAAGAATCAGCATCAAAATGAATGTACAAACTTAAATAGAACTTGGCATACCTTCAGTTTAAAAGCTCGTGTACAGTGGTAGCAAAAGGAATTGAGACTTCCTGGTTCATGTTTGTATACCTACATAGTAAGACATGCGATGAACATAACCAAATACATTTACAAATATAATCCAATCTGGGGAATAGACAGAGAAAAAGAATATATTTTAAAGTGTAATTTAAGTATTACATTAATTACCTTATCGTGACACTGGAATTCACCAATTCCTAGAAACATTTAGGTTCCGTTGCTTGCCGAATATGATGAATACCCTAATTCTCAACAAGGTCTTATCCGCACTTGTGTCTCCTACATTAAGAGAAAGCAATTTTGAGTTTCTAAATTTGAAGGTAATTGTTGTTTGTTCATTTGTAGGTTACAAAATGAAACAGAGCAGAGTGGGTCCTCAACATGTGATATTTTAAGCATAGTTCTAAAACTTAAATTTGTCTACTATTTTAACAGTGATAAATTATTTTTTGATGCTGTTTTTCTCACTATTTCCCTAGCTCCCCAACATATATCTACACTACGCTAGTTCTTTGTTTAATATTTCCCCTTTCTTGAGTTTTGCTTATCTAGCTAATGTTAAAATGGACGGTACTTTATATAACAAATAATATCAGGGACTAATTGTTTGTATTACTAATAGAAAATTGGATTATTTCAAAGCTGTTGGAGATTTGATGTTTTTATCTAAGCCTTCGATCTTGAGTTCTTATTCACCATTTTTATTATTACCGATCGCAACATGAAGAAACAGATATTGGTCCTTTATTCCCTTACTTTATAATGACTCATTTAGTAAAGGTGGACAATAATTAGGGAAATGAAGAAGCTAGCAATTCGTATCCACCTAATCATGTACCAAACATGCCTTGAAAGTTGAAAGTGTTTCTTTGTTGATTGTTAAATGCATATAGTGAACGCTTGGGAACTAAACATTTTTCTGTAGTTAATGAAGCAATATGAAGATAACTTTCACTACAATAGAAAAGAGCCAAAAGAAAATGATTGTTCACAAGACACGTGTCTCTTATTCCTATCGTCGACATAAATACATTTTTTTTCCTGAATTTTCTCACATCTCCTCCTCTTCACGCAACCCATCACATCTTCTATTTTCGCACGCAATTAACTTCATCCATACACGTTCAACAAATTTTGTACCGCATAGAGAGAGCTCAGAGATTGTCGAATAGGACAACATTTCGAACTATTTTTTAATTCATGAGTAGGCAAAAGATAACATGATGAATTGAAACATCTTAATAGCAGAGAAAAAGAAAGCAAAAGTGATTCCCGTAATAGCATCGAGTGATATGATATGAGAGCAACTGAAAATGAGGTTATGGGAAAATAATAAAAGTATCGTTCTAATAGGCAAAACAGGGCTGCCGCTACAAAAGAATTTGTATTTTGAAGATTTATTTAGTAAATTAATTTTTCTTTTTCGTGGCACATCTGCTCCAGCTTTCTCTGCGTAGCGCGGAGATAAGAGATGTTAGCATTAAGCTTGAGATTTTCTACTTTAATAAGCAGTTTTGCTATGGGTTTATATAGGAGTTTATTGTTAGCACGGGTTGAATTTGTTAGTATTAAGCTTGAGATTTTCGACATTAATAATCAATTTTGCTATGGGTTTATCATAGATTATTGTTAGCATTATAAAAAAAATGTCTACGCTGTGTGGACATGTTGCTTGTTCGCCCTGCGCAGACAGCGGACACAATCCGTTGCGTGTCCGCGCAGCGCGAACTTCTTTTTTAATATAGTGCTAACAATAATTTACGAAAAATCCATAGCAAAACAAAACAATTTATATCTTGTATATTTAAAAGTGTACAATACATTTAAAAATAATATTAACTAAATATACAAACATTTATTTTTAATACTAATCAAGTAAACGGTGGATTGCCTTTTTAAAAAAAGCTTCGCAAGTGAATAGTAAACGGTGGATTGCCCAATAAGCCAGCAGAGATTCATAGTCAACAATTGTATGTATGAGTAGAAGGAAGTCAATATTGCCCTTAAAGTTTGGATGAATAGTTGAGAATGGATATTGATAAAATTGGATAAAAAAAAGCTTCACATTATTGTTAGCACAGGTTGAAATTGTTTTTATTAAGCTTGAGATTGTCGATGTTAATAATCAGTTTTGCTATGGGTTTATCATAGAGTATTGTTAGCAATGTAAAAATCATGTCTGCGCTGCGCGAACACGGTGCTTGTCCGCACTGTGCGGACAGCGAACACGATCTGTCGTTGCACGGACACGGTGCCCGCGCTGCCCGGACACTGAATGAGCACCATGTCCGTGCAACGACGGATCTGCGCAAACACATTTTTTTATATAGTGCTAACAATAATCTACTATAAAACCATAACAAAACAAAATCATTTCTATCTTGTATATTTTAAAAGTGTACAATACATTTAAAAATAACATTAACCAAATTTACAAACACTTATTTTTAATACTAATCAAGTAAATGGTGGATTGTCTCTAAAAAACCATGATAACTAAAAAAAAAAAAATGGTCTACATTGTGCGGACACCAGGTGCCTGGTGTCCGCATAGCACAGATCAATTTTTTTTCAGTGCTAACAATAATCTACGATAAACTCATAGCAAAACAAAATCATTTCTATCTTGTATATTTTAAATGTGTACAATACATTTAAAATAACAATAACCAAATTTACAAACACTTATTTTTAACACTGATCAAGTAAACGGTGGATTGCCTCTATTTAA